CCTATGTGCTTCTATGAATGTGTTTTCCCATTGCCTTTTCTTTTGGAGTTGTATGTAATTGTCACTGTCTGATTTATGGATTTAGGATGAAAGGGAGCTTAAAAGACAGAGAAGGAAGCAATCAAACAGAGAGTCTGCTCGGCGATCTAGGTTGCGTAAGCAGGTACTGAAGTAACCTTTAGAAATTATAGATCCAATTATCTGCCATTAAAGGCCCAGATATGAGTTTTATATCTAAATGCTTACTATTGAATTAGGCGGAATGCGATGAGCTGGCACAACGTGCTGAAGCCTTAAAGGAAGAGAATGCCAACCTTAGATCAGAAGTTATTCGGCTCAAGAGTGAGTATGAGCAGCTTCATGCAGAGAATACCTCTCTCAAGGTCATATTTTCTTGCTTTGTTTTACTAAATATCAGAACTTGTTAGTATGTACTCTTCAAATCTATTTGCATAACTTTGCTTCCTAATATCAGTTGCGTAATGGCAGGAGAGGCTAGGGGAAGTTCCAGAGCATGAGGATCCGAAGTCTTGTAGGAATGACCAACATAGAAATAATGATGATCAAACAGATAATGTGCAGGGTAGTCACTAGGTTTCATACACCCTGCCTCCTCCAGGAGCACAACTTAACCAAATTAGTACAGAAAGTTTTATTCTGCATGGCATGTTTAAATTTTATCAAAGCTGACCTTGGTAGCATTTAGGTTCCCTTTTTCTCCCTAAAATCCTTCACCAGTGATTTGGCTTGGCTTTACAATCGAAGCCATAGGATGCTATATAGATTGATATTATGTGATACCTCTCTCTGTTGAAAGAAGGATACATTTTAACTTTTCAAGCTTGTTTATGTTAAAATATGATTGATGAATGTGAAATCCTGGGGAAGTAATCAACTCTGATTCATTAAATCCCAGTCGTATTTCTCTGGAACAAGGCTTTGCATCTGATCTCATCAATTCACCATCTGACCACACAAGCATTCGCCTCAACGCTATCTATAAACACTTTAATTCAATTTTATCTAATTCTAATGTAAGCTACAAAAGTCATCCTTTTCACTTATTCTGTCCTGACTGCAACCTGTAACAAGTCGGATAGCAAATGAATGAAGACAATTTAGACTATAATTCAAGTTTTGGAGGATGGAAGAGGAGAATCAATCTATAATCTGTATAAAGTCTAAAGAATCTAAATTAGATACGAACGTATAATTTTATGTTAGGATGATGAATTTCTAAAATTTTAGAAGGAATGAAATTATAAAATTCTTGCCTCATCCGTGATTTAGACTGCTTGGGAACTTTTCTAGGTAAAAGTATCACCCCATGAAAACAATAAAACGGAGCTGAAACCTAGAACTAATAGCAGGATAAAATGCTAAATTATTTGACCCAAAAACAAAACAACTGAGAAATGCGACTGAAAGTGCTGCTGTGTGGTGATGAATTGATGAGGGATGCTGCTGAGGCCGTGAATCGAGGGACAACGTCGAGCTTGCTGCAGCTGAAGTGAGGTTTTAGTTTTCAACGTAGAATCTGCGATGTGGGGGTGGCTGCCGCCTGCGTGTGTCGAGAGGGATAGGATGATCTAATTTTCCCTTGGTTCATTTTTTATTTAATATTTTATCTTTTTATTCATTATGTCTGTTTAATTATATTTATTAACTTTTCAATGAAGTTTTTCAAAAATCGATTCATCGTTAATTATAAGTTATATTCTAATTTTCTCTTTATTTTATTTCCGCTCGATGTTATGTCATCATATTATTCAATATTATATTGCCTCATAATATTATTACCACATTATATTATTTTTTATTATTACTAATTATATTGTATTGAATTGGTATTGGTATTGCTATTGTAAAAATAATAATTCATATGTTTATTATTTATTAACAAAAATAAGATGTAATTAAGTTACATCCATAAAAACAGAGAGAAAATGCAAGAAATGAGGAGAGGGTGAAAGAGAATAGACGACAAAGAAGAAAGACTTGTTTAATAAACTATTATTATTATTTTAAAACTTATCAACAGTATTATTATTATTATTATTATTATTTAGATTTTTAGGAAATCACAATATATATTATTTCCACACCATAAAACTAGTAGCCGTTCATTGAATGAAAAAGAAAAGTATATTTTAATCTTCTTAATGGTCTTCAAACAATGAAAAACCATCAATTCTATAAACTAAAGGACAAGAGGTCATAGAACAACAGCGCGGCCAATAGAACGGCGCCGTCAGGCTCGGTTCTCCCTTTACCTATAATGCCCCTCACCAAAATTACGACTCAAACTTCTCCCTATTTCTTTTACGGACAGTACACCCACAAATGCCAGCTTTTTTTTACCGAAACCTCTTTGTTTGACTCAATGATTTACAAATTTCATTCAACACCCATGCTCATATTATAATATTTTATGAAGTTTTATTCTTAGGTAATAAGTAAGTTTTTGCGTGGGCGGATGTATGTGGCTCTTTATTCGAGATATTGTACATCTATTATTTTGATAAAAGTATTAAATTTAGTTTAAATTATTAATGAAAATAGAAAAAAATAAAAAAATTACATACCCAAATTTTTTAGAATATAAGCATTAAAATTTTAGACCCTTATTTTTTAATTTCTAGATCCACCAGTTGGTTTTTGGTTGGTCAAGTTCTAGAAACTGGGCAAGAAATTAATAAATTACTATGGTTGGTTTGCAATTCTTTCCCAAGCTATACTATATATTGCATTGTTTGCTATAGGTGGTCTCACAGTTAAAAATAAATATTATTTTTCTTAGAAGTCATGAATTCAAATAAATAAATAAATAATTCTTTTAATTAGGATTAGAGATGATTTTTAATGAGGTCTATTGTAGTATCTATTCTCTTAAAAAAAAAAAACTTGAAGTAGGTTCGCCTAATTTAAGCTTTTCTTAATGGAGTCATTCTTTAAATAATCAAAAATTGTTTAAACTAAATATAAGAATATATAAATATTTTTATAGAATTAAAATATATTTAATTGATTAATCGATTAATTTAGATTCAATATTATAAAAAATATGATAAATTACATGTTTAGTACTTTTTTTTTATTAATCTAGGGTAAGTACATTGTGATATATGATCAAAGATAACTCTCAACCTTTTGACATTAAAATGTTGTACCCCTGACATTCCTTTACACATTTAGTACCTAAACTCTCGTTTTAGTATCCCGCCGTTAAAAGCTTTACTGAAAGGCTTACGTTAAATTATTTTATGTTTTCAATTTGTTATATATATCTTCTAATGATCCACATCACCGTTCCACGTGAAAATTAGAATATTAAGGGGACTAAAACAAGAATTATACCGATTAAAACGACTTAGTTTCGTCTTAGAAAATGATAGAACATCAACATGTGTGAGAAAAGAACTGAAACGCCGTTAGAGTGACTCCGTTGAATGGAATAGAAAGCTTTCAAACGATTTTTTGAATTTCAAAATAGATATATACAAAAATCTACCTGACAAATCGTTAACAATTTTCAAAATAGATATATACAAATATTATTAATACAAGTTTTCGAAATTAAGGGAATCAATAGAAAAAACCAAAACATATTTGTAGGGTGTAGCAAGAGAAAGGCAATCAACAGTTTGTTCCTATATAGATTTAAAATAGGGGTTAGGCCAAGACTGACGTATGTTTAGCGTATAACGGTGGGATTATAAAATAATAAATAATGAAACTGCTGCTTTTGTTGCATTATTTATTTGCATTTTTTTTTATTGTTTATGGCCAACTCCACCGCATTATCTTAGTTGTCACTTTTCTTTTAACTTTCATCACAAGAAAATCCCTTTTTAATTTTTTTTATAAATACGGATGAATATAATATAATATAATATTTGTTTAAAAAAATTTAACTTTTTGATAATAGAAATTTTTATTTTTGCATATACGGTATTCGAATTTAATACCTTAAAGAATAATAATAAATCTTTTAACCATTAGAATCATTTGATTTGTACGTTTTTTTTATAAGCTGATTGAAATATTTAATATTAATACTAATTAAAATGTAATTTTTTATTAATTATAAAATTTTTTATTGATTGTTCTTAAATACATTTAACATCACACTTGGCTTCTGATTTATTGTATTACCCTATCCGTTACCGGCTAATAAAGAGAATTAGATATCATAAATAAGGTTTCACAAAATTAACCTAGAAATCATCATCTCGTCCACCCCCCATTCAAAGAACAAAAAAGAAAAATACTGTTTCTTTTATTATTCGATAACAACTTTAAAAACAGTAAAATTAAAATGACAGCACGTACTTAAATAAAATATATTTGATAATCCCAATGATGATCCCCTTTCCGGTTTTAATCAAATAACGAATCCGAATCCCGTGGAACGTTCACTGTGCTAAGTGTGATTGGGCGGTGTAGATTCCTATTTTTTTTTAAGTAACACTAATTAATTAATATAAATAAATAAAAATAGAGTAAACTACATGTTAAATACCTAAATTTGTACTATTTTGATCATCCAACTATTTCTATTTCAAAATCATGCCTATCGGTATATTTTAATATCGTTTTTGTTCATTTATCATTACAATATTAATGGTGATGCTAACGTGTCACCATAAGTTAATGTCATGTCATTATTGGAAAGAATTAAAAATGTCACGTTAGTAATTCTGTTAATTTTTTAACGACGGATGGGGTTGGAATGTAACATTATATATGATTTTGAAAAAAATAATAGTTAGATGACCGAAATGAAACAAAAATTATAGTTGGAGTACTAAACATGTAGTTGACCCTAAGAAGTATAACAAAAAATATAAATAGATATTATTAATCTAATAACCCAACTAAACCAAGGGTAGAATAGTCAGCACAATGGATTGATTTATAGAGAGAAGCCAAGTAGACCGTTCTCCTGTCGTCTCTATCCAATAGAAACTCCGTTTATTTTCTTTGACGTTGGTGTGCATATAAATATGGAGACGTACACAGAAAGCAAAACGCTATGGGATGAGTTTGAGAGACAACAAAGAAACGAAACAAGAACAAATAATTATTAAGTTATGGCTCTCCTCTTTTTCTCCTTCTGTTGGTTCATCGCCTTCGCTACTGCTACTTTCAACGTCACCACCCTCCCCTTCGATGAAGGATACAACCCTCTCTTCGGCGACGGCAATCTCGTTCGTTCCCCCGACGGCCACAGCGTCCGCCTCCTCCTCGACGTTTACACCGGTAATAATCCATTACATTACATGCAATTCAATTCCTTTTTTGGGTGTTGATGGATCTGGTTTTTAAATTCAGGGTCGGGTTTTATTTCGTCAAGTATGTATCGCCATGGATTTTTCAGTGCCAAAATCAAATTGCCATCAGATTATACTGCCGGAATAGTTGTCGCCTTCTATGTAAGTTTTCTTTTTCCGCTGTTGGTTTTGAATTTGATCGGTCGTAAAAGTAAATAAATTTCAGACTAACAAACCCTTTTCACGGCTGTTGATGGTGGTATTGAAATTTTCTTTTCTGCGGTCAATGCAGACATCAAACGGTGACGTATTCGAGAAAAGTCACGACGAATTAGACATCGAGTTTTTAGGAAATATTGAAGGGAAACCATGGAGATTCCAGACAAATATGTATGGGAATGGAAGTACGAACCGAGGGCGAGAGGAACGCTATAGCCTTTGGTTTGATCCATCGAAAGAATTCCATAGATACAGCATTCTTTGGACACCCAACAACATCATGTCAGTTGTCTTCCACGCCTTACTTGTCTCTCTCTCATTTTTAACGTAAAATTAACCTACTCCTATATACTGTGTCCTTGTCCCTGCGTCCGTGTATATATTCTTGCCTTAGTTTTATGAAATGCTCTGCGTGTGGATCGGGGCATTGCCTTAAAACTGACAATACGGATATGATTTTAGGCTGTTTTTTATGCTAATTAATAGGTTATTTTTTATATATTTTAAATGTGAATCAAATTAAGTTTAATCCATCAAAATTTATATTTTTAGACAATAATCAAAATATTAAAACAGAAAGTATTGAAAAGAAATTATACTCGAATAATCTATATTAGTTAGGCTACCAAACTTAGATGCCTTTTAGATTCTTAAAGGCTAATCCCCAAATATAAATGCCATAATTCTACCAAACGAATCTTTATTCCCAACTTCTCAAGGATTTAACGGGGAATATTTTTATGTTAGTTTCTTTTCTGTGTGATATAATATGTGATTAACATGATATGTTGATTTGGTGTTGAATTTGTGAACAGTTTTTATGTGGATGAAGTTCCGATTAGGGAAGTGGTGCGAAATGATAAAATGGGTGGAGATTACCCATCGAAGCCGATGTCTTTATATGCCACTATTTGGGATGCCTCTAGCTGGGCCACCAACGGAGGCAAAAATAAAGTTAATTACGAGTATGCCCCGTTCACCTCCGACTTCAAAGACCTCGTCCTCGAAGGTTGCCCTACCGGTCCTATCCAGAAGTTCCCCAACACCACCACCTGCGCCGAGACAGATGCTTGGCTCGAAAGCCGTGACTATGCCATCATGACATCGAAGAGCCGATCCGCCATGCGAAGATTCAGGCAACGTTACATGTATTACTCGTACTGCTATGACACAGTTCGTTACCCTATAACGCCTCCCGAATGTGTAATCGATCCAACCGAAAAACAAAGGTTCCGAGACTCTGGGAGGCTGAGATTCGGCGGAAGCCATAGGAAGCAAATGAGTAATGCTCGCCGGAAGAGAAAGTCACGGCCTACTTCCAATGTCTTCACTGAACAAAACGATATGTGAATTAACAATATAGTTTTGTAAATTAAAATTGTGAGCGTTCTTTGGTCCTCAAAATATGTTTTTTATTTATTGTACTATAAATAACATATGATGTAGAGTGTTAAATAATGGAGTTTGGTATGTTTTTTTTTCTTTACCCACTATGGCTTGTATTTTAGTTGAAAGATCCTTTTCTACTTTATGATTGAATTAAGTTTACCCGAAAATATTTGAAATATATGAAAAAAATGAGAATATTTTATTATTCTCCCATGGGTAAATGGATAATTGTAGGGTAAATTATATGTGTAATCACCAAATTATAAGAATGATTCTATTTTTACCATCAAATTATTAGTTTTATCAACCAGGTTACTTAACTATTTAAATAATATCAATCAAGCTAATGACCCTTACCATATAGAAATTTTAACGTGATAATTAAGTAAATTTGTATAATTACATATTTAGTCCTCGTTATTTATATATTTTATTAATTTGATCTTAATTTTAATTTATTAAATTTAATTCTTCAATCAGTTAGTGGAATTAAAAAGTGAATTTGAAGCAAGGGGAATCAAGCCTGAGAAAGTTATGGAATTTCAGCCTCATTTTTATGAATGGGTTAATTACATGTTTGGTTCTTACATATTTGGTCTCAATTCAAAAATCTCAGTTTATGGTTATTTGGGCACAATTCACATCCGATTAAATTAAGCCCAATGATTTCAATCACGTTGGTTCGTAGGTCTTTCGGGTGTATTGACTCAAAAATTCGAGGTATTATAGTAGAATTATACGATTGATTGAAATTGTTGGTGTACAAGACATAAGTAGTGATACCTTACCTTGATAAATGGGAAGGTAAAATAGACCAGACCAATTTCACTGATGATGTCAATTGGATACAAAATCAAGAATGTGATATCCACAAAACGAACACCACTTAACTGGAATAGAACGCATGTGTTATTTGTGTAAACCAAAAATGCCATGAAGGTGTAAAACCAAAGGCTTCCTTGATGCTAAAGAACAAATATCGAATATTATGTAATTACATGGAATTTATGAAAAGTAATTTATGTATGACATCCATGTCCATAAAAGAAATGTCCTTTGACATTATCTATGTAGAGAGAAGCATTAGCCATGAAGAAATAATGGCATGAGAAAGATAACAAGCGACAATGCTAAGTTCCAACCTATGTTATTCAGGCTTCAGTGTAAATGATGGATACATGTATATACGTCTATATCATAGGTATGCTAAATTATTTAGAAGTTTTTTCATGTATGTAAAAGGTTTCTGAAGGGTTATAAATATCAGTGTTGGACACAATTACCTCAAAGAAAAATGAGAGAGTTTTAAACACAAGATATATGCAAATGAAAATGCTTAAGAAACAAAACCGATGAAGATGACTAAGTGATAAAAGGAATTGTTGTTCTTTCTAAAGGTTTTAGATTCAAACAATTGCACTTACACTGTGCGCGTGTTGTCAATTAATTAAATTTTTTTGAATAGAAGTAATATATTCATTAGTTTCAACTCTAGATTATTTGTCAACATACGTAACCGAGTGAAAAAAGAAGAAGCAATAGTACCTCCAAAACGTGAACAGATTCAACTAAAATGAGAGGTTTCTCGACGACATTATAGACATGTTTATGATCAGAGACCTGCAAAAGAAAACTGAAAAAAACTACAAATTTGAAGTGCCCGTAGTTCACCTACAAGAAAAACTCTTTCTAGCGTTATTGTTTGTCCAAGCAATGCGCAAGGCAGCTGACATTCTGCAAAAACATGATGAAATTGTATTGAGCTTTTCTATTGTTGCTAGGGAGGGCGATGAAACAAAGAAAGGTGAAATATATGGTTTTATTAATGTAAAGAGAAAGTTAACGTGCCACGTCAGTTTTTTTAATAGTAGTTGACGATGGTGATATATAATGAAAGTGAATTAAAAATTCAGTGATTGTGTTGCAATTTTTAAAAGTCTGGTGATCAAAATGTGAATACACTAAAGGTTCAAAGGACTATTTATATAGTTTACCCTTTTCGTTATTTCAAGTTATCATAATTTTAATTTCAAGAGAAGATGTTTACTCGCTCATTAATATTTATATAGAGCTAGAATCACTTGCACAATATAAAATTCTTTTAATTTTACACAGATTTAAAATCGTTAGATGAGTGAAAATAGATGACAGAGATTAATTCATTGTTTTTTTTCCTAGTGAATATCTTATTATTTCCTACTATAATCACAATCATCTATTTTCACTCACCCAACAATCTTAAATTTATGTAAAATTAAAAGAGTTCTACGTTGTATAATAAAATCGATCTTATACCTATTTATATATAGTGACATACATAATTTGCATGATTTTTCCTTTAGAAAACGAATTATATTGATTTATATTCTATGTTCATTTTTAGAATGATTTATGTTCGGGACTTGTGATTGTCTCTTCTAATAATATTATCTTCAATGTTTGACTTTAAATTTATTTTAGAAAGATTATTTATCTTATCATTGCATCCAGATACTTACTAATAAAAAGGAAATATACTAATTAGTGAAATATTTTATTTATTTATTATTATAATTAATAAAACCACGGATGTAAATTCAAAAGTTAAAGATAACAAAAATATTTAATTGATATGGTACAAATAAGAAATAGCATGAACCAAGTTATCTAAGTTGTTAAAGGAATAATTGTTATTCCTAGAGGTCTCAAGTACTCGAGTACAAAGACTGCAAAGTATTTGAAATTTCATTGTCACATGGTTGAGAGTCTTCAAATACTACCATTTGTAAGCCCCTAGATTATTAAAAAAAAATAAGTAAAACACATTGGATGTATCGATACCATATTGTTTTATATTTTGGTTAATCTAGAAGCGAAAGTGAAATTAAGTTTATCTTATACATGTAATAAGAAATTGACTTATATGATCAATTATTAAGATCAAAATAATTTCAGTATTGTTACATCAATACTAATATCCTACCTAAGATAAACAAAACATCATTTTGTATAAATATGCTTCGGATTTGAACAGCTTAAATTTCATTTGAGAGAATGAATTCACATAAGCTGCTTTTAAACTAAAAAGGTATAGTGTTAAATCAAGATAATTGAACTTTAAAATTAGTTTTGTAGTGATTTGGTTGAGGGTGGCACTGTTGCATATTTGGGAGGTTGATTGTTGAACGTGGAAAGAAATGAGTTCAACTGCATATTTGAGGCCCCATCTTCGTTCACGTTCAGTAGTTGCCTTATTAGAAGAGATCTGAGTCATAAAAGACGCTGTAAGCAACTAAATAAACATGCAATATGTAGATGCTTGGATTTATCGTTTAAGCATTGGTCTTCAATGGAAAGTAAAAATATGTTGCAAAAGGGCAGGTCCTATATTGTATATCGGGAGACGTACCGAGGTGGCTGGATTAAAAGTCTAGAGTGCTAACTACTACACAACAGAAACAAATGTTTGCAAAAAGAGAATAACTAGTCCTACGGGGAATAAAACCCAGGTAATTGGAAACAGTAAAAAAGTTGGTGGGTTTGACTACTTGTTCAACTGTTGACAACCTCATTCACCTTTCTTCCAAGTTGATCATTTTAACATTCATTGCATTTACTTGCTCAGATCTCATAGCTCACCAACTTCTATGAATCCATATAGCTTGTTTTAAACATGAAAATTTTCTTTCTTGTGAGAAATAGCATTGCAAGTTTTCCATATTATCAAATCTCAACATAGAAAAAATAGTACAAGTTTTAATAACATGAAAAATTACAGCAAGGTGGTTCTATGGTGTAGTGGTTAGCACTCTGGACTTTGAATCCAGCGACCTGGGTTCGACTCCCGGTAGGACCTGCACTGTTGTCTTTTTTTCTTAATTTTCCACATAATTGAGTTTGGACTAAATTTTGAGATCAATTCTTTCAACGAATTAGCCCATCTCAAATAATTAGGTATTAAGATTTAGACCATTCATTCCCCGTATTTCTCAATTAACATAAAAACATTCGAAGTGTGGTCGCAAATTTCAAAATACTGATGACGAAAAGGGGCAAACGAGTCTTGTAAGCCGCCATTTGTTTGACCATAAGCAAAGTGGAAATGGGTACTTTGTTGAAACTGATTCATCAAAAGGATGCAACGTGCACCGATTCCGTTTCATATTCAATTTAAAGGCAGAGATATGAAGTTCCAAACAATCATAGCAAGAATTTAACCTCAACATTGGACAAAGAAGAAAACCCAATCGATTTATCCATTAGATCAAAGACCGATCACTCTATATGAAGAAATCAAACAATTTCCCGTCATTTATTGTACGAGAGCTAATTATGATATGTAAGTCTCAAATAAGTTTTGAAAAAAATCAAACAGTTTATGGTCAATTTATAATAAGTTCAAACATTACAATTTGGGTCCGTTCGATTTGAATAACCATAATTTTTAAACTTGAGTTTCATAATAAATTCAAACACTACGATTCGAGTCGGTTTCTGGTTTACTCGATTTCTTTGCTCACCCCTTGGTATCAATTATCATACGAGGGGCCGGGCCTTTGATTGGAGAAATTTCCAATATGATGCTCACTGCTCAGCTTGAAAATAAACCTCATAAAATGTCTCTCTTTCACATAATAAAACATTTTAACATTCACGTTCTACGCAATGTATTCTACACATGAAACTTGAAATGAGTAGAGCTCAAAGTATCACACATTTTCTATTAAAATGTCAAATTTAGCTACTTTTCTTAAAATGTCAGTGGCAAAAGTAGTAATTTTCATTAGACAAGAGAAAAAAGACTGATAAGAATTGCATAAATGAAACGGAAGCTTCAAGATGACATGGTCATGAGAAAATTCTGGTTCACATTAATGCTAATTCAAATCTACTAGACAAATTGAAATATAATGTAAAATCATCAGCTTTTTACAGCTTTAGCTAGAGGTCTTATTCGAGACTGTCATTACAACTGGCTGGTTGGGTTTAATAAATATGTTGGAATTTCCTATCCTCTCCATGCCGAGCTTTGGGGCATATTGGAAGGCTTACATATTGTGTGGTCTACCGGTTTCGAGTGATTACAATGTCAAACTGACTGTGGGGAAGCATTCAAACTTGTTACGTCGCCTACTGCCCATTTGAGCCCTTTCGCTCTTGTCCGAGCTATATCCCAGTTTACTTCCAAGGCATGATTCATTGAATTTATCTTGATTCGTCACGAAGCAAACTTCCCTGTTGATTGTTTTTGGCAAATATGCCTCCCTCCATTGATGGAGTTACCTCTATCCTTTCGACCCCTCCCCATGGAGTTGTCAATTTACTTGACAGAGACCTTAATGGCCCTCCCTATTTTAGAAATTAATCTTTGTATCGGCTTTTAAGCCCTCTTTCATTCGACAAAAAATATGACGCGTTAATCAGTTGACATGGCACTGCTTTTGCCACGCTAGATAGGATTTTGACCGAATTTGACTATGTAACTTTCCTCACCATCTCCACCCTCCTAGGTTTATTACCTAGAGACAGTCCTTGTTAGCCGAAAGCTCTATCACCCCACTTGTTTTAACGCTTCCACCGCTCTAAGAAAATCAGGTTTCAAAGAACAAAGAAATGTTAACGATAAATTAAAAGAAATCAAAAAGATTTCTCTTGATGTTCTTGAAATCCAAAGAATCAATACACTTTAATCCAGGTCTATAAGAATTCAATAACTTCAAAAACGCAGTTGCTTTCTCTTTGGTTTCACCACTGCACCCAACTTGTATGGACAACAAAAGCTTCGAAATGCACCCAACTTGAAGAGCTTCCGTTAAGACTTTTTCTTCATATCTGCTTAACTTCCATATGATTGAAACAGAATACTCGATTGTTAGTTTCAAAACATGTAATATCTTCTTGACAACAACAACAACAAAACCCTATTCCCATATGCAATGGGGTAAGGGATGTAATATCTTCTTGACGAGAACCAATATTACTAAAGCGTCATCGTAAGCAAATTTTCTCCCTTGTTTGGTCTCGCAGAGTTTGTATATAACAATTAACACCTAAACCCATACATGAGCTCAAATAAATTTTATGTTATGTCACATGTATCCAACGCTCAACTAATGCTTAAGGATAATTAAATATTACATTCAAACTTACATGTCAAGATACATAACGATACTTAAACTTTCATAGACTTGATAACATAGATCATATTCTAACATAATTGAGCTTTAAGCTCCGTACTTTGTTCGGATCATACATCATACTTTTATTAAAGTTAAAGTAATGAGTGGGTCATTTAAAATATGAATTGATAGCAAGAAGTCGAGTTCAACATTCTCATACTTTTATTAAAGCTTGTTATGAGTAAGGTTAATTTTCATTTTTTGCTCTTGTTCTTTTTTTATATATATTTTTAGAAAAAGTTTTTAACTCGTTTATTTGTTATTTTAAAATAAAATATTATAAATGTTACTAATAGGTATATAATAGAAAAACATCAAAAATAAAAAATTATTATATTTTATATATTCAAGTTCTATTAGACTCATTTTTTATTTAAAAATAAATTGGTTAAGTTCACAACAAATCAACAAATAGATTAATAAAATAAATTACATAAAACCCTTTAAATATTTGAGTCTCCTCGCATTCCGGCAACTCAACATTTCAGATCTACTTCTAGAACAACAACAATTAGGATATGCTCCTCTATTTTACTCTTTGAAATCTAAAATAATGATCGAGATCAATTAAATAGGGAATATAGTTTAGCTAGAGATAAACTGAGGAGACGGGAGGATAATTATCTCTTTGAAAAAATTATAATTATTATATACTTTAAATTTATTTTATGTATTTTTTGTTAGATTTTTTTATTCTTTGAAAATTTATAAACTCATTTTCTTTTTAAATTTTAAAAATTCATGCTTCTAATATAAAATTTTACATCCGTCTCTCAATATAATTGTCATCGGTGATACTAATGCTAATAAGTTTATTCTTGTAGTTTAAAATAAGGTTCATTTTCTTCTTTGCTCTTTTAATTTTTTTAATACTTTTAATTTATTTATTTGTTTAAGCAAATGCATTTTCGAATAAAATATCATAAATATTACTAATAAGAGTATAATATAAATATTTATCATATTTTGATGCCTTTCGCAATCCAAACTGAACAATGAGGTTTGTGTGGAATAAAAAAAACAAAGGGATTGAATGGTAATTTCCGTCTTGAAAATCTCTTAAAATGCCAAAAGCTGATGCCACACCGCCCACATGTATGTACATTGCGCAACGGCCCATTTCGCCTGTCTTTGGACGCTCGCCGGCAATTTATTTAATCTCGGAGATTGTCGTTCCTCTTGCGGCAACATGACGTCGTTCCGAGCCTTCCTTGCCGTTTCAGCTCCTCCTCTCTCTTCTCTCGGCACCACCGCTTCCTTTCCAACTCGCCCCAACTCACTTCCTCAACGCCGGTCCTTTCTCTTCCACTCATATATCCATCTTCCCCATCAATATAAATTATATTCACTATTTATGTGGCCGTTTTTCAATATATCTTTTTCAGTTTGAATTTATCATTTTTGCATGTCGAGAATTTGTATCTCTTCTGTTCTATAACTTCTTGGTTTTTTAAATTTAAGGATAATTTTTACTAGTATGTTACTGAAATTTGATAGGTTCCTTCGAGTCGTATTTGTGAATTGAAGAACTTCTCTTTGTCTAGGAGAAAATCGAAAACTTTTGCCTCTTTTCTCAGCTCATGATGTTATTTTCTGTCTGTTTTCAATTGCAGCTTGTGCAAGTTTGGTGTGAAATGCAGTTTTGCGGAAGCAGGAACCAGTGATGACTCAAGATCAGCTACAATAGATGTTGTAGCTGATGTCAAGAACGAACGGGTATGTGATATGTCTACACTGGATAAGTCGATAAACTTGCTTCTTTTGTGCGTTAATAATGTTAGCACATATTTTTTTACCAACATGTTTTTGTTAGTAGATTGTAGTCTTGGGAGGAAGTGGTTATGTTGGTTCTGCAATATGCAAGGCTGCGGTATCCAAGGGCGTAGAGGTTCTAAGTCTAAGCAGGTTTCAAATATTATCTCAACTGGTTTGACTTGCTCATGTTGCCTTTTTCTGGGTGATTAAGAGCTTATTGATTTTGTAAGCTTTTGAAGTTTTTGTCATAATTTGTTTGTAAACAGCTTTGAATTTTGATTGTTACACCAGGTCAGGGCGTCCTACTTACTCTGGCTCGTGGGTGGATCAGGTTAACTGGATACCAGGCACGTTTTATCTTCGCTTACAATTTCTATCGAGTACATAAAATTGAATTTTAAGGTCCTGAATTTGCTTTTGAAGCCGATTTCCTTTTGGCATGGATAGCTGATAATATAGGAAGGATGACATGATTGTAGATGACTAGTTATCTTTTAGAAGTTTGAGGATCAACATTCCTAGACTTGTTTCATCTTTCAAGTGCAACAAGAGAGCTACATATCTCTTCTGTTGTTGCATGCATTTTGCACTGAGCCTACCTTCCTATAACCCTTTGAGTAGACCATTGCTTACCAACAAGATCTTACTTAGGTTTGGGTTTACGTAAAATCTTTCTTGCTATTTGATTCATCTTATTCTTAGTTCACTTGTCCATATTTGTATAGGAATATAAGTTAATAATTTAGCTTGTTTCGCAGGAGATGTTTTTTATGCTAACTGGGACGAAGTACTTGTTGGAGCTACAGCTGTGATTTCAACTCTTGGAGGTATTGGCAGTGAGGAGCAGATGAAAAGAATTAATGGCGAGGCTAATGTTGTGGCTGTAAATGCTGCCAAGGATTTTGGTAAGGATTGCTGGTGATAACTTATATCTTATTAAATTCATAAGTTAAATTCTTGGTCAGGAATATATCCTCCTTAATGCCTTCTATTTTCCTTGTAGGGATTCCAAAATTTATCTTAATCTCTGTTCATGATTACAACCTACCGCCATTTTTACTTCAATCTGCATACTTCACATCGAAGAGGAAAGCAGAATCAGAAGTACTATCCAAATATCCAAACTCGGGTAATGTTTAATGACTTAACCTTCTTTTTGCGCAAATATAAAATAAGATTTTTAAGTGCCTGACTAGTTATTTAAAACCAATAGCAAGAGAGAGACTTCTTTCAAACAATTAGCTGGTAGGGACAGTCATTTATGTCAAAAGTCACTTCAGGATGAACCAGCCTTTATTAAAAATGTTAGTTCACCATCCTGATTTGAAGCTATCCTTATGACTTTGAAGGAAAGGGAAAGGAGGGAGACTAGGTTATTTGGTAACATCTAAGTGAGAACTCCTAAAGAAGAGTTATCATCAGTACCTGATTGTTATACATATCAAGCACTTTGACCAAGAAAGGCTCATCCAGCTGTGTACCTCACCGGGTACTTCAGGATCCACTTGAAGACTTCCCCAGCACATCCAAGTAGACATGCAATACAGTCTTTCATACCTTTGAGATCGGCTACCTTAGTTATGGCCCAATCACATCCTAGGAAAGCACTTCATGGTCCTACCACCAACCTTATGCAATAGGAGTCAGTTCCATTACCAATATAAGACCCTCTTCTTCACCAGAAGAGCTGAGACACTACTCACCCATTACCATAGAAACTCTGCCAGGCTATCTCCAAAACTCTCCATCTTCGTCAGATCCCTCCAAACCACCACTAATGACTCTCAACACTACGGCTTGAACTGTCCCTAACATTCAAACTCAAACCTTGTATCAACAGTGGTAAACTTTATAAGATTGTCTTCTTTTATAACTTGTGTCCACCTGAATGTCACGTATCTAATGCTATGTGCTTAGAAGGCCACTTTTTTAAGTTTATTTTACTTTTATCACCTTTTTTTATCTTACTTTCATCCTTCTGTAGTGAGTGTTCCAACTGTTTTTGGTTTTGTATTTCAGGTGTTGTCCTAAGACCAGGTTTTATATATGGAAAGAGGCGAGTGGATGGTTTTGAGCTTCCACTTGATCTGGTTGGGGAACCACTGGAAAAAATTCTTAGTGCTGTGGAGAACTTTATAAAGCCTTTAAAAGCTCTTCCAGCATCTGATTTGATCTTGGCTTCACCAGTTAGCGTAGATGATGTTGCATATGCAGTCATCAATGCAGTAATGGATGATGACTTCTTCGGCGTTTTCACCATCGAACAAATCAAAGAAGCAGCGGCAAAAGTGAAAGTTTGAATCACTTCTACACTTTGAACTAGTTATCATAATCTCTAGTATTTCAACATCTACAATGCCGATCTTGACCCGATCATGAATAATGGCTAAATGCAAAGTGGAGCTGTTGTAAAGTTAAAAGTTTTACCTATAAATAATATTGAAGCAGAGAACATATCTATTATGGAGTTCCAGGCCCCATCTTTGTATAAAAGACGTGCGAATTTAGCCATTGGCCCATTGCCTATAGTGAAAAAGTAATCTTAGAAACTGATCCAGAGATAATGTCCAATGTACTTCAGAATGATGGGAAGACTGTTACCTAAGCTTGTAGGATACTAGGATGCATTTTGATGAGCTGAAGTTTAGTTGGGAGGCCGCCCAATAAATGTTTTTCTAAAAGGGAAAAAGTTCGGTTTCCTTCCCCCCCCCCCCCTTGAATTATTATTTTTATTCCAGTCAGGGTTTTAGTTTCTCCATTATATTAAGATTTCACATTTAGTATCTTTATTTTGTGTATAATCCGATACATTACCTTGTAACTTTCTCGGATAAGTTGTGAAAATTTTAGTTTATCAGTCTTTTTTTAATTCTATGAGTACTATTTAAGGTTTAAGGTTTAAGGTTTAAGGTTTAAGGTTTTAAAACAATTGTGTTTTGTAAGGTGTGTTGTCAATAGGTTAAGAAAATATTAAACAAATATTATCTTGTAATCACTTAGATTATTTAAATTATAAGTCTGTATTTTAATTTTATTTCAAGGCTAAGCTTTTAGGGTTTATACTTTATAATTTAGTGTATATAACTTGTCTATCAAAAAAGTATTCTTTATTATAATACTAATTGTTTTGTGTACCCGGCAATGCACAGTGTACTCACGTGTATATTAAAACTGTGTTTGTATTTTAAATTTTAAATAGACTTAATTAAAAAATGTGTTCAAATTATATAGATTACTTGCAGTAGAAGTCGGTGAAAATCCTAAAAGGGTGCACATGAGAAAAATGTATAACCTTTCCCATAATCAATTATTTTAAAATATTATTAAATTAATAATCAAACTTTTCATTTCACACTAAATTAAATATTATATTTTTATTATAAAAATAATATTTTATAATAAAAATAGATGGAAAAGAGACAAAAATTATACTAGTTATAATTCAATTTCAAATAGAGTTAATTATGCTTTAGGTCTCAAAATTTTGGAATATGTATGAAAGATAATAATGCATATCAATACGTAACACTAACAATATATATAAATTAGTAATACTCAATTTAAAATTGTCTTAAATTGAGAGATAGATCACTTTAATCATGACAAAATTTAATCTTTTTAAAAGTAACTGTTACTTATAATTGACAATGAAACACATTATAAAATTTGAACGCCTGTTCTCTTAAAATTTATATATATATATTAGTTCAAAATCATAATCCCATTCAAGTTTTTAATTAAACCAATAGTTTAATTGGAATAAATTAGCTTTTAGCGTTCATTGTTCAAATATATTTTTTTTAATATTTTTTAATTGTTTATTTAAAAAAATATTTATTTATTTTAAAACTCTTTAATGTTATATGAGATTAATTCTATGTAAAATAGGTTATATATTCATATCGGGTTGGAATCATTATTTTACACCCCAGCTTTTGGGTTTTAAATAATTTTTTCAATCCCGAAATGACCCTAATCCACATTAACAAATCCAATGGTTTCCTCTCCCGAGACCGGACCGTGGGTGACGGATCCAATAAAAGATCGACACGTTGACAGACCAATATGTCACGGTTGATAACTTTATCCTTACCCCGTAAGTGAACTGTGATAGTTTGGATTCTCCATTGCTTTTCGTCCAAGAATGCTACATTAAGTAAAAGAAAAATTACTAATTCTAGGGTTCTACAATTTCTATTTCCTTTTTCTATCTCCCATCCTCCCTTCTTTCTAAAGAGAAGCGAAAGAATCACTCCAGTTTTTCTCATCTGCAGGTAATATTTTTCATTATTCTTTTAGTTTAGGCTTCCTTTTCCCCCCCATGTTTCTTGGCTTTAATTTCTAAGAGCGAATTCGATAGATCGGTCCTGATATTGGCACCTGCGAGGCGTTGAATTCATTCTGTTGAATGATTAATTCTTTTGATGGATGATCTCTGTGGTAGTTGTTTTCTCAGAGGATCAAGAAAAATAATATAGTATTCTAATTTTGAGAAATTATGCTTTAAGATTTTCAATTTCTCTATCTTGCAGTTTTTGCGATAAATTGCAATATCTTCTAAAATATTTATTTTAATAATTTTTTGTTTGACTTAGTTTTCGGTTCTAGATAAATATTTTTTTACGTTCTTTAAAAAAAAGGAATGTATGTTCTAAGGTTGAAATTTTCTATTTTAAATTTTTCGATCTCATTGTTTTCAAGAGAAACACCAGATTTCTTTTTATTCTATTTTTCTTAGCTTTTTTTCTTGGTGTAGAGAATATCTAGTTTTGTTATTTTGGGTGAAATATTTTTTGAGTTGATTTTATGTTTCTACTTTATTACTACTGTTGTTTTTGTTATCATTATTATTATTATTATCTTGAGTCTCTATCCATTTCTGAGAATTTACTAGTTTTTATGAATCTTTGTTTTGTTTGGTTTCACTATTTTTTGCTAAATTTTCTTGACGGAAATCAGTGAAGGATTACAATTTTTGGAATGCTTTCGGTTTTTTTTTTAAGTCAATGCTGTTTCTGTTTCTGTTTCGAGATTTGTGTAATTAGTGCTTACTATCCGAGTGAATATTGTGATTTTGTAAAAATAGATATTATTATTTTTAGGGCCAGGTTGATATGATATACTTAAAATTGATTGCTCAGAAGCTCTAAATAAAGAAAAGAGTAAAAACATTTCTTCTGTGGGTTTCTTTTATACGTAACCAAAGAATTCTTGAGTCATAAATTTTATAAAATATTTTTGCTACAATATTTGTAGGTGCTTTTATGTTGCATCAGGAGGTAGGGTATCAAATGCTGTCTCTTCTCTGAAGTAATTGTAAAGAAAAAAAATGAAGAGGATCATGTACAACATGAACACATGCGAAATGGAAATGTACAGGATTGACACTAACTTCAGTTCTAGGTATGTGTTCCTCTTGCTGTATTGTGATTCTGATAAGTTTGGTTTGATATGCTTTCAGTTGTTTCATGGTTGCTTATGTTCCAATTAGTATGGCTTCATATCCATGCCATTTAATGTCCTAACCCTTTTTCCTTTTTTCAGGATTTGCACATGAACTTTTAGGAGACAGTGTCTTTTAGTTTGGTAGAAAGTTAGACTTTGAATTCTTTTATACTGTTGAAGTATTGGTTTTAAACTTGTTGATAGGGATTCATCTAGGCAGAAATGGAAGCACCGAACACCACAGTATTGGATAGTAAGCCTTGGGTTTTGCATGGCTCAAAGAGGAAGCTGGCAACACAGCTTACGACAGTCTTTCCTGGGGCTTCACATGTGATTTCACGTCGGTTGCCTGGCTTGTGTTTAGCTTCCCAGAAGCATGACAAGTGCAGGAGATTAGATGATTGCAAAGGCAGAGTTGTGAGTTGTAATTTTACTTCAAAAAGATCTTTGTTACTTTGCTATTCAAATTTTAAGAGAACAGGCATTCCAAAGTGCATAATGTACTATGAGAAGGGTGAATGGACTGATTTTCCCCACGATCTTATTGCCTCGATCAGGAAAGATCTCAATACAAAGAAGCCAGCTATTGAGGCTGAGATAGATGGTCAATCTTTTCTGCTAGATTTTTTGCATATGTTTCGACTGGAGCTGGAAACTGGCATGATGCACCCGATTGCTTGGATTGATGAAGCTGATGGCTGTTTCTTTCCTGAGACTTTTACCAGTGGTGATGAAGAATGCCAGTGCTGTGAACATTAATATGTGAATGATCAAGATATGTTTAGTGAATCTCATTTCCCCCACGAGATCAAGCTGCGCCTTGAGATTGACATTAATGGTGTTGAGCAACCAAAGTTGAAGGAATGTAGTGGGGAGTCGAGTTCTTTTGAGAGACATTTTCAAATTGCTCAGAAACCTGCCTCTAGTTATTGTGCTATAGAAGTTGAGGACAATTGCAATAGGGATGCTGATGGAGAACCCAACAAGGCTGTTGAGGATATTCAAGAGACAAAGATAAACTTGATCCATTAATTTGTAGATGTACAGTTCAATGAGCAGTTGGACTCTTCTGCTGTTGAGAACATGTTTCTCATGGGTATGAACACTTGTGGAGGTGTGGATATGCTCGATATAAAACCCTGCTCAAGTACACAATATAGATTAGAAAGATTCCTTAAGCAGGTTGAAATCATGAAAAAGTATAGGGGTACTGCAAATGTTCAATGTGCATGGCTCGCTTCCTCCAAAGCAGCATTGTCCACCATCATGATGCATGGGCTTGCGCACTGCGGTCTTTCTGCAATCCCATACTTATATGGCTCTGGTATTCATCTTGCTGCATCAGAATAAACTAATGCCAGGTTGGAGGTTCTTCATTGTTTTTTCTACGACTACTACTGAATATGAAAGTCCTTTATTGTTTTTCTTTCTCTCTTGGAAAATGTTGCAAGGGTATTGATATTTGCAAATTGCAAATAAAAAAAGCACCATCGCTTCTTGCCCTTCAAAATTAAATGATGAGACCTTACAATTACAAAATGATCAGTTCTGCCTTGCTTTTTGAAATGGCGTACCTTTCCTGTTGCCCTTCAAAGATAAATGATTAGGACTTTGCGATTACAGAATGATTTGTTCTCTGTTGCTTTTTGAAAAAAAAGTATGAATGAAGTTAGTCAACCACTTTTACCTAATAACGAGTCTTGGCTGTTTAAGTGCTTAGAATGTACTTGTAAGGTTCACTCTGAACACAGATTTGTTGCTTATATAAATTTTACTTTTGATGCTCCTTGATCTCTCTTACATTAGGTGCTAGTTACCACTAGCCAGTGTCTGTTTTCTTCAGTTCTTTTCCTTTATCTGCCATTTGTTTTTAGAATCCAATCCCAGATGAATGTCACCCTTTTTTAGAACATCTTCAAGATACTTTTTCCATACCATATTGATGTTGAGGGCTGAATTTTATTTTTTATCTGTGCAGTGCAAAGTATTGTGATATTGACGAAAATGGAGTACAGTACATGA